GATGCGTCGCGCTCGACGAGTCGAGCGGCATACGGAACCATCTGATGCGTCTCGTGTCGATTTTCGGCACTTGCAATACGTTTCTCGCGCTTCGCGGAGAACGATTTGCCTTCGCTTGTATATTGAAGAGAAAAGCGACATTCTCAATGCGAATAGAACGAATGGAGATTATGGTTTCTACGAAACGTGTAAAAGTCTCTATAGATTCATATGCTTGTCACATTGCGGACTTCTCGTCGTGACTTGTGCGCGACTATGCGAGTCCCGCAAATATCCGACTCTTGGCCACGGTTTAGACACGAGACCATTGGCGGCGATTTGTCGGTTCGCCATGTGTGGAGTTGGACAACTTGATCGTAAGGGTTGGGGGGGGGACAAAAAGTTTTCAGAATTAATTTAATTTTTATATTAAAATTTCTTTATCATAAGAAATTATACACAATGATAAGCAACAAAATTGTAAATATTTTATACATATTTATAGTTTAACTTGAAACATACTTAAACTCACGAAACAAAACTTAATGAAAAAAATTTAATAAAAAAATTAATTTTGTAGAGCAAACGTTGTACTCCGAATTTTATTTTTTATAATAAATTCATCCATAAGTGCATCAATATCTAAAGTTTCAGCAATCTCGGAATGCATATGCAATATAGCTGCTGAATTCAACCGAACTTGCTGCATCGTAGAACGCAAATATGTTTTTAATCTTCTCAAAGCAGAAAAAGAACGTTCTGCAGTACACGACGTCACCGGTATTGTTAATAGTATTTGAATTAGTTTTGTATACTCCGAAACCAAGTTTCTCACGATCTTATCTTTTCGAAGAATTGTAACAACGTCTCCGAGAGATGTCACCGTTAATTTTCGGCTGTGTAGTATGTCGAAAAACATTCTCCGATGGAGTGCGAGCTTCTGAATATCAAAATCATTCTTGTATTCTGCAAGAGCATTCTCAATTTCACTTTCGTTATATTTATTATTTCCGATTGCAACATTTTCCATTTCTTTTAAAAAGTTCATGGTTTGGGTTGAAAATCTTTCATTTAAAGATGCGAAGACTTGGTCATGTACTTGTAAATATACATGTTTATAATATGCTTTTGGCGTTAAAAAAACATGACTATTATCAGTATTTTCCAATCGTTTTGGAATCTTACGAAGCCGCGGTAGTTTAGGATCTTCTAGTCCTAGTTGCTTAGCGTTAGTAATAGCTTCTTCCCATATCGACTCGAAATTATTCTTTCGGGATTTTGAAAATATCGAAATTACATTTTTTACCATCTCGTGTGATCTTTGAATGTTTAAATCCGTTTTTTGCAAGTTAGTGTTTAAAGTTTCGATAACTCCAAAAATTCTAATCATAAAACTTAGATTAAAATAAAATTCAAAACTTTCGAGATGATGTAAAAATCCAAGAGCTTTTGCATAGTTGCTACAATGAAATGTTGAATCAGACTCAAATAACAGTCGAGCTGCTTCATAATTGCTTGGTTCATACAGCGTTCTTAAAGATTTTACACGTCATACACCACCTAATAAATCGAAAATATAACAAACGTTAATAATTCGTAAATCTAAATTAGTTTATATACATATATATAGCAGAATTTATCATTTATTCCTAAGATTCAATATTATTCAATTTTTAATTAAAATGTGATCATTCATAAACCGTTGTTAAAAAAAATTAATCAAAAGAAAGCACTTTCTCAGAAGGAAAAACAATGTTAAGTACATTTAATACATTCAGTACATGTATACATATATGTATATGTACAATGTAATTGCGAATATTTTATGTTTTATAAAATATTATCGAATATTTTATTTCAGTGTTATCTTAATTCTCACCTAGTTGGGCAAAACTGTGTAAGCGCAGGACTGATATCTGATTGCAATTCTTTAAAATGTCCTTGGCGCTTAGGGGAATCTCGTATAAAATTGATGATCCTTTACCACACCAATGAAATTTTTTACGCTGGATATACACTGCATCCCGTCTTGTACTACTAAATTTAGATTGTGAGCATTACAGTGCACGTATAAAGCTCGCGGTTCACTTTCTTTAATGCGTGCCTGTAATCCTGTAATTCTTCCGCTTACATTAGCCGCTCCGTCATAACATTGTCCTCTTAAGTTATGGATATCCAGATCAAATCGAGCCAAAATATCTTTCACTATGTTAAATAATATTTCAGCTGTCGTACTTGGCGTTTCGTAAAATCCCATGAATATTTCTTCTATTGTCATATCGTCCAGTACGATTCTTATCGAAAAGGACACTTGCTCGAATCGTGTAATATCAGATGTTTCGTCGATTATTATAGAAAAATATTTAGCTTTTTTAATTTTTGCAAGTTTGTTTGTTTAAAATTTCCTTTGCCATCAAATGAAGAATTTCATTTATTGAATCTTTATGAGTCCACTTAAATTTCGTTTGTCCAAGCCACTTCTTAAGTATGGAGACGTCTTCGGCTCGTAATTGCAGTAATTTTAATACATTAGAAGATTCATCGGTTTTTCCACGAAAAGCTAATCCTTGTCGAACTAAAAAATTTATAAGTAGAAAATATTTTACGAAGGGCCTCTCGAGCCTCTACCATTTCAGTTTGTTTAGCGGATGACATATATACATAAAAAATGTTGAGAGATACGCGAGATTCCGGCACTGGCGACGTCGAAATATTCGAGATAGAAAGGTGATTAGAGGAGAACTTGTCGTGTAAATCGATTTATTTCTTTCGAACGCTGAGAGACGACTGCTGCCGTCTGCAGACGGCAAGCCGTGAATTTTGACAAACAGATATAAGGAGGGGGAACAGTTTCGATAGATTTATGATATCTAAAGTACCGATAAAGCGAGAGTATACATATAAATATAGAAGACATATGAGTCCTTTGTAATGCGAACTCGAAGTCGGCGCGAAAACAACAAAAAAGCGCGCAAATAAGTACGCGGAGAACGGTGTTTATAGAATTTAGCGCGATAACATTTACAAATAATGCTTGCTAGTGATTCGACTTTTCACAACGACCGTTCTCGATGAATTTAAGAAAATTTAACAAAGAATATTATTAACTATAATTTTATTACATTATTTTGTCGAAACACATATGTTGAATAACAGTCGGTTTCTTCAGATTATTTAAACCAATTACAGCTGAAAGGTGAAAATCGCTTTTCTCATGATTTTTGAAGCGAGAAGCCGCGTTTTTCCAGTTACTGTAACCTTTGGTTACAAACGCTTCTTTTGCATTCATGGATTGAGTGTTAAATGGCAGTGTCAACTTCAGATCTATCGCTTGTGTGCATATTATGCAAATTGCTTTTCTGTCGACATTTAAATTTAACCACGAAAATTCTTTTGTCCATCGTTTAAAAGCTTTAGGAATATCTTTATCTGTAACGAAATCATTTAAATATATTCGTGAGAATTTATTAAATATGTATTAAATATCATGTTTTAAATATATACTCTATACTCTTGTATCGCGAGAATATATATATTTATTTATTAAAAAATTTAGCTGTATTTTCACGCAAAAATTCTAAAAAATGTAATAAATTATAGAAAATATAGGGAATTGAAATATATATATATAATTATTAACAGTTATTATGTATTAAAATTGGTTATTATATTCATACCTTGATTATTGTTTTGATCTGAAGTTTTACTAAATTTGGTCTCTTGCAAACAATTTATTGCACTCGTGTCATTTTCTTTCATGTTTTGTTTCTCCGGACAATCGGAGTCAGAGACACACGCCGCTTTACCTCGAGATTC